GAAAATCGGACACTTTTGACACTTTAACTTCAAAAATACATTTCTCTTAGAACATATCTTCAAAAATTCTGAAACTTTAACACAATACTCCTATATCATTGGAAAAGACTCCTTTAAAACAGTTTTCGAAGACAAGCAGTATCCTAAGAGAAATAAGTAAAACAGTACAGTAGTATGGTCACACTTTCAGAAACAGAACCAACCACTTTAAAAATACTCAATAAATCACCCTTTTGTTAAAACACTGCACACCTTTGTCGAAAATTGGTTTTATAAGTTATAAATCCATTCCAAGTGAAGTCAAAGAAATTGACTAGGAAAACATTGATTTTTAAAGCAAACCCTCAGCTAACTCGAAAATTGTACAGGTTTAGTAAATAATTCATATCTTAATCATCCAAAATCCGTTTGATGTTTAAAATATATCAAATTAAAGATAACATAAAGATCTAGTTACCCATAAACTTTCGTGATTTTAGGAAAACAGGGAATCTGTGAAACATGCAGTAAACTCCGAGACTGAAAACCTGAAAATTCATTAGTGATCTATATCTCCATCTTTGATCAAAACAGATCTGGCAGTTTAGGCACTATAACTTTAGAAATTCATATCTCCTAAACCGTAGATCCAAAGATGATGAAATTCGGAACACATGTTCATATCTAAGTCTAGGGTATAAGGTTAAAACAGTTTATGAAGAAACTTATCTATGTAAGAGATATAATCAATTTAGTGCAGTAACATAAGCAGAAATTCAGAACAGATCCACTAACTTTAAAAATATCAAATAATTCATCACTTAATCCAAAAGTTACAAAATTTTGTATAATGTTAGTTTCATAAGTAAATAATTATATTGGAGTGAAATCACTTCAATAAGAGTAGTATAAAAAGCTATTTAACACATAATTCGTGGATGACTCCGAAACTGTGCAGATTCAGAAAACGATTCATAACTCACTCAATACAAATCCGATTTATGCACAATTTATATCCACATGAAGCTAACCGAAAGATCTAGACTACCACCAAATTTTATAATTTTATCTTAGGGATTACCCGATGAGACATGCAATACAATCAGAAGCTACGAAACTGAAATTCAAGTAGTGTTCATAAGAACTTTATCTTCTAAAGCCCAAAATTAAACCACAAACATATAATTCATTAAAACCCATATAATTTATATTAATTAGGTTATTATTTCAGTAAAGACCAAGGTCCTTACCCAATAGCAAGAAATCCAAGATGAAGGAGTAAGAAAACCAAAGGCTCGGTGGATTTTTGGCGGGTTTGGCTTGGATGTTCTTGGATGGCTTTGGGGCTGAGTTTGAAGGATGTGAATGGGCTGTTTCTTGAAGAAAAAAGATGGAGTTTCTCTTTTCGAGAGGAGAGGAATTAAAGAGAGAAGAGCAAGGGGCTTTGAAGGGTGTGAATGGGCTGTTTCTTGAAGAAAGAAGATGGAGTTTCTCTTTTCGAGAGGAGAGGAATTGAAGAGAGAAGAGGAAGGGGCTTTGATGGGAGCTTCTTGAAGTGCAAGAAGAGAATTCTTCTTGGGGGATCAAAGGAGAGGGCCTTTTGGCTGGTGTTTTGGTGTGAAGAGAATGTGAAGAGGAGGGGTTTATTTATAGGGGAGATGAGGCCCTTATTTGCAATATAAAAGATATTGAAGTTTTATTGGAAATTCGGAAGAACATACATTGGGGGCTTCATTGCAATATAGAAGAGAAGAGGGGAGTCTTTAGTAATTAATAAACTTAGGGGCAGTTCACACACACAACACACGGTCACATATACACACATAAGAGACTTTTAATTGCTATCATTAACCCATATAATTCACATCAATTCAATCTGAGGCCAATAAAAAATAATTATCATGACAACTTATTAAATCTCGTATTATCTCAATAGATTAATCATTAATTAAAGCACATCATTAAAATTCATGGACTAAATCACATAATTCATTTAATTGTATAATCATAATTATTATAAACACTTGAACGAGCAACCACATTATAACATCTAGTAATCATCAATATTATAAATACTTATGAAGCACTTAATCAGATAATTACTAATCATAGATTAGATTAGATTAAACCATGGGAGCATATAAGTTATTTAATTCAATTAAGATGCATAATAGATTATAATTCACTTAATTCATGTAAATAGAATAACATGGTCACATACATTACTTAAAGTCACGTAAACATTTCGGATAAATATAATTATTAATTATTCATGAATTGCATATAATATATTCTATGCATTATGAAAATGCGGGGTGTTACAACCACCGCCACAAGTTGGCTTTTTGGTCACCTACTCTAACAGTATCATGCCTTCTTTTTTTTCCTACTTTCATCAACCACATTATTAAAACCATGAACTCAAGTAAATTTTAATTACTAAATAAATAAAATACAATGTGAACAAATGTTTAGAATGCGACAAATAATTGAAAGATATAAAGTAAAAATTAGGATAAAATAATACATACATTACATAAAAATAAGGCATTTTATAGTTTTGGTTCAGTTCGGATCGGTTATTTACCCTTTCCACCGTACCGAATCAAATAATTATGTTTTCAAGGAAAATAAACGTACATACGGTATGCTATTCGGTATGTTCGGTATGGTTTGAAACAGCTCGGTTTTTCGATTTTTTTGCTCACCCCTGCTTCCACTAGTTGGAACAAATTTTTAGTTTTGTCCATAACTTGTTGGCTTTAAATGCCACCATTATACATGAGACTATTTTTAATTTGAATTTGATAGGATTTTCGAAAATAATTCTTAATTGTTTTCACCAGAAATTACATTAAAGTATCAATATTTATTTTATATTATAGGCGTGGATAATAAAGGAATCTTCTGAGTTTCATCGATTCCAATTAAACAAAATCGATTTTGGAACAAAAAAATTCATTATATTTTCCAACCAAAAAAAAAAGTAGAACAAAATTGGACCTGAATAAAACCTCTATTTTGGAAGAAGATGAACAATACTGATTAGGGCCAATAGTGTTTGACGTATACATCGCACCATGAGTCGCCGATTTAGCCAAAAGCATGTCCGTCGCATTCGCCGGAACGGCGCGTAGCATATACGTCGGATCGATGTACTTCACCGTGAAAAGCTCCGTCGGCTGATCCCTATCCTACAACCTCTTCAGCCACCCACCCACGTCCTAAAAAAAACGGGTTACCCGATTCGTCCTTCTCCTGCACGTGGGACCCGTTGTTATCCCGACCCGGGCGTCATTGTCCGTCTAGAATGCCAATTGGCTAATTAACGTAGAGTGGCGCCTACTACGCGGTGAGCTTTGCATGGTGACTAACTACTGAAAATTGGATCTTGTTACAATTCTATATTATAACCAGTGTTCTAAAAATCGGCCGAGGCGGTCCAAAACCTTTACGATTGTAGTGTAAAGGTTTGAAAAATCGGTTTTTTGCCTGTGAGGCGGTCTGAGGCGGTCCGAGGCGGTCTGAGGCGGTCAAACCTTTAAGGCGGGTCAAACTCCGTGACGAAAATCGGTCAAAAATCGGTTAAAAATCGGTTTTTATTTTTTATTTTTTTTATAATTCGAAATAAAAGTTGGATTTTAATCAAAGAAAATATGAGTTTATGCCTTATTTTGTTTATGTTAATTATTATTGTTAAAGAACTGAATAAATGTTAATTCAAAACTTTTGCTTTTTTATTTATATTTTATAAGGATATTTATGTATTATGATCTCATAATTATTAAATTTTTATTATGTTATTAGGATATATACATGATGGAGATATAACTATGTTTAAATATCTTTTTATATATGTTTGGAGTATTTATATATAATATTTAGAAATATTATATTAAATTTTAAAAACCGACTTATTTCCGATTTATCACCGATTAATCACCGCCGCACCGATTAATCGTGAGTCGGTGCCTGACCGACTCGGACCCGATTGCCGCCTTTTACAACCTTGATTATAACAGCCTCAAAATATTAAGTCATTTAATTTGGTTTAGGTTGTATTTGGGCCTTGATCATTACCACCCAGATGTTGAATCCTAGCTGTAATTAGTTTTAAATAAATAAAAAATATAAAATTAAATACAGATTGATCGATTATGAATAATGAATAAACAGTTAAAATATACACCGTAATTCATTTAAACAGTTAATGTGACTAGATCCAATCCGATTCCCAAATGGAGATGCCCTGAGCCGGAAGTGATTAAGCTGAATTTTGATGCATCAGTTAACGTTGCGCTTGGAAGTGTGGGTATCGGAATAATGGCGAGGTCTCATACGGGAGAATGCGTAGGTTGGTCGTCACATTTCCTGTTGCAAAGTCTTGATCCAACGTCGGCGGAAGCTAAGGCTGCATATTATGCGATGATCTTTGCACGAGAGAAAGGTTGGCGAAAAATTATTGTTGAAGGTGACTCAAGTACTGTAATATCATCGATTAATGGCGCCACAGAAGATCGATCAATGCATGGGGCTATCATTGCAGATATTCTTGTTGCTAAGGGCTGGTTTGATGGGTTCTCTGCTAGGCATATTAATAGAAAAGGGAATCAAGTTGCACATGAAGTAGCTCGACTTTCACTTAAGGGTCCAAATCTTTTGCCGAATCTCCCTTTGGTGATTCAAAATATTGTAAACTTTGAAGCTGAAGATTAATATAGTCCAATGTTTTATCTCAAAAAAAAAAAAAAAAAAATTCATGTAATAGTACTTAGGGCATCTCCAATAGAGTCTCCAAATTGGGTCTCCAAATTCTATTTTGGAGACCCAAATGGAGACCCGGTAAAATTTTACGGTCTCTAAAAAAAATCCACAATGGGAGGGCTCTATAATTTTGAGTTTCTAAATCATGTTACGGATTATTTTATGTAGTAATTTGTTTATGGCTCAAATTTTATTCATAGACGAGATTGTAGATAGTTAAATTTTTTTTTTTTTTTTTTTTGAAATAGTAACTTTCATTAGATTATATCTGCCAAAAAAACAGGCAAGTCATCACCTTCTTTACAGTCCATGGCCAAATGTTTAGCCAAGTGGTGAGCTAATCGATTACCAGAACGCTTAACAAAATTAAAAACACAATACTGAAACGATTTAGCAATATTTAGACAATCTTCTAATATAGCACCGAAAGACGAGGCATCCCGTTCTTGAGCACGAAGAGCACTTATGATTTGGAGATAATCGCCTTCAATTATAACCGACTCCCAACCCTTTGCTTTCGCCATATTGATCGCAAGCAAAGCCGCCTTTGCTTCACACTCCACTGGCAGTAAACTCCCTCGGAAGCTCTCGACTTTCCAACCAACACAATCACCTCCATTGTCTCGAGCAATAGCAGCAATAGAAAAATACAATTCGCCTCTAGGTACAGCAGCATCAAAATTGATCTTTATTACGCCACTAGGAGGTCGAGTCCATTCCCTGGGATGAGCAATCATAGGCTTGACAGTAGGCGGCAGTTGTGCTTCCTTAAAAGTTTCCAAAAAGGCTTGACCCCAACTTGTTAACTCTCCAGCTGGGATTCCCGTTTCACCAATCTTTTCTTTGTTCCTATTATCCCACGCTTTCCAAGCAATTATAGTTGCCAATTGGAATTTACTCGAGCTCAAGTATTTCTTCAGTTTTTCCATCAAATCCCACGGAGATTGATAGCTTGAGGCTGGGAGTTCGACAAACGGCTGCGACCTCCAGACCCTATCCATGCCCCTGCATTCAGTAATAACATGAAGTGGATCCTCAAGCTTTAGGTTACAAAAACCACATAATGGAGAGCTAGCAATTTTTCGGCGGAAAAGTTCTGCATTTGTGGGAAGGATGTTCGAGCAAAATCTCCAAAGAAAGATGCGAATTTTCGGTGGTATGGATACATTCCAAATATCTTTCAAATTCAGGTTTGTGGTACCACTATTATCTCCCTCATCGGCACGGCCAGTTCGCTTTTCAATCAAATTACTCGCAAGGATATTGTGATAGCTCGATTTAACTTAAAATCGACCATTACTGGAAAAGGTCCACACCCATCTATGCATAGCGTGAAGGTTGCCTATCGGAATTGCCAAAATACGTTCTTGATCAATCGGCCAAAAAACCTCTTTGATGATATCGAGGTCCCAAGTCTTCGAAGAAGGATTGATTAAATCCGCCACCCGATTTGGGAATGCTGTGGACACCGACCGTGTAGTAAACACTCTACCGCTTCCTCCGTCTTTAAGCCACGGATCCGCCCAAATTGATGTGCCAACTCCATTGCCAATCCTTCGCCGAATTCCCGCCCTAAGGTAAGGAATAACTTTAAAAATACTCCTCCAAGTTGCTGATGGTCTAGACCCAATATTTGCCGATAAGATGTAACCTTGGGGGAAATATTTTGCTTTGATTATTCGAGAGAGAAGAAGATTCGGACAGGTAAAGATTCGCCACGCTTGCTTTGTAAGCATAGCCATATTAAAAGATTCCAAGTCTCTGAATCCAAATCCACCCTCGTTCTTCAACTTACACATATCAGTCCACGATTTTATTTGAACAATCTTAATTATTTTTAATACACATTTTGATCCAAAAAATGAAAATTTCTTAAAAGATATGAAATATTGAACTACAATCGTTGGATATGATTTCAATTGATCTCGTCCATTAAATTATTGATTGATTTTTTTCCAATAAGTGGATCTTTAGTAATTGCTATATAAGCTCGGCACAAAGATGCATCCTCTTCAGAAGAAAAATTAGGACCCCTTGAACTTCCTTCAAGATCTTCCATTACTGTCAAAAACTAATTAAATAGTAAGTCATTAAACTAAATATAAAAAAATTAAATTTGTTAAACCTAAAAACAAAATAAATTAACTACTAAAAAAACTAATTAAATATTTTTTTAGTAACTAATTAAATACTTAATAATTATAAGATTTGTAAACCTCCACTAATTGTGCACCGCCTTTAACCTCCACACGTGTATTTTTTTTTTCTTTTTTTTTTCCCCTTTCTCTCTTTTAAACCTAACGCCTCGCCTCTTCTTCCCACATTTTTTTCACTCTGTTCTTACGCAGCAGTAACAAAGAGAAAAGTAAAAAAAATGTGCTCCTAATTTCTTCAAGAATTGAAGTACACCCAACCCCCTACTTCTAATTTATTCATTCTCTCAGCCATAAAAATCCAATCAAGTTTCCAATTTCTACAAGTATTGAAGAGAAAAAAAAAAAGAAAAAAAAAACCTCACAATTTGAAGATTTAGAAGTGATGAAGAAGATGAAAAACAATTAGAGATATTTATGTTTTTTTCATTATTTTTTCTTACCGTTGAAAACCAACAGTTATATTTGTAAAGGGAAAATTACAGTTTATGTCCCTAAACTTTATCACTAAAACGATTTATGTCCTCAAACATTTCAATCCACGAAATATGTACTCAAACTTGCCACTTTTGATCACTTTATGTTCTATCGTTAACGTCGGCAGCTAATTTCGACGGAAATAGCACGCGTGGCTCACGTGACGTCTATGTGGCCGTTAAATGTCGAGTTGTACAACACCCAATGCCTACTTGGCTGACAAAATGTGATGTGGAGCGACACGTCATTCTCCTCCCCTATTTCTATTCTAAAATCCCCATTTCGAAAATTGCAGAATTGTCTTCTCAAGTTTTTGAATCCTTAGTTTGTGTATATATATATAACAAATCAGAAATTATGTGTTTTATTAAAGTACGGGAGTGTTTCCTGGAGGGCGGACAGGACTAGGTCGCGATGCGCATCGGTGCACCATAGCTTGGAGGTGACGAACAGTTCGCCGCGGCTCTTGATCAGGCCGCCGCCCAATGCCTCCGCAGCGGCGCGGCCGACAATTTCTTCTGTGCCGCAGATCGTTGCCGAGTCGAAGTGGCGGTATCCGGCGGCACTGGCCCCGACGAGGAGTTGTACCAGCTATTCCGCTGGTACCGCGGAGGCGGCAG